TGGGTAGTCATCATATCTAGGACCCGGGTTGACATAAAAACCCAAACCCGCTATACTACGCTTTAGGAAGTGGTTTCACTTGGCCATTTTCTAGAGTGACAGTAGGAGTGAGTCAAGAAGCTAATCTTATTGTGACATCATTTTAGTTACTATTTAATAATTTCGATGATCTAATTAATAATAATGATGTGGTAGGATAATAATGTTTACAACACGATCGATAAATCGTATTTCAATTTGATTGAGAATGTTAATAATAGCATCACGGAAAAATGTTAAAAACGTATGTGAAAAAACTAATATGTATTGTTGACAACATTGACAACTCTGTTACATTGCTCTAAAAATCTCAAATCAGAGGCTCCCTTATTGCACATGGTTTTAGTTACCTGTTAATAATTTCAGTAATATAATTAATAATAGAGTCATAGAGGTTAACAATGTTGACAACACAACCATTAAATCAACTTTTTTATTGATAATTATAGTAGCATCAGTAAAAAAATGTTAATAATGTAAGCCAAATCACTAATATGTAAGGTTGAAAATGTTGACAACTCCATTACATTGTCTCGAAAACCTCAATTCACCAGCCAAATCACTAATATGTAAGGTTGAAAATGTTGACAACTCCATTACATTGTCTCGAAAACCTCAATCCACCAGCTACCTAATCCACAGGCTCCTCCATTACATTGACGCGTTTCTTTTTGATGGCAAACAACGGATGTAGCGGGCCGGTAACAAGTTTTTTCTTACAGATATTGGATTGTGGCATATCGTGTAGCACTACAAAAAAATTGATAATGGCGTTCAAAATATTAATGCTGAAAAAATGCTAATAATGAACAAAGATTGTTAATACTAAACGTTAATTCAATCGACAAATTAATAATGACACACTAGTAAAAAATTGAACATGACTTTTAAAATATTACCAATGGATGAAGAAACGTTAACAATAAACTGAGATTGATAATATTACACGTAAATTCAGCAGACAGATTAATAATAGCACACGCTTAATAATAAGACGGGTCATTATCAAATCATGCACGATTGACGACATCACTTCCAAATATTAAAAATTACTATGAACTAAATTAATAACATACTATATTAGTGAATTAATACCGATTACCAACAAATTGATAAAAAAATTACAAATCGATAATAAAAAAGGTTAATAGCACAACCTAACATAATTAACAGGCCTATCGGACAACATTCACAATACGACAAACATTGACTATTGAGCGAGTAAAAATATTGACCATAGCCCTTCAGAAGATTACAAATCATGGCGACGTAAATTGATCATAAACTGTATTAGTGAAAAACCCTCAACACACATTATTAGTTTTAACAATCTTTGTAATGCGGGATAAGAAAAGTATAAGAAATAATTGATAATGGGATTAGTAAAATTGATAATAAAGCTGATATTATTAATAATGAATGCATGTACATTAATAATAGAAATATATAAACATATTGATAATGGCCTTCATATACTATTACTAATGAGTGTATATATATTATGAATGCATACCTATGAGTTACACTACTCTCATTGTCAATGGTATTGGCAAAGACATTTTGATATTATCAGTTTTACTAATGTCATTATCAATTTATTGATACAAATGAACACAACTTTGACCATCGCCCTTTGAAAGTAAAGAACCATTGCACCGAAATTCATAAGTAACTTTATCAGTAAGCCAATTTCGACTACCAACAAAAAGATTAATAACGCCGTGTTAAATATTAAAATTTATAAAAAAAAACAGGTTAATACGGAGCATGTTACTAGTTAATAATGTATATTTTTGAAACGTTAATATTCGCTGAAGAAACATTAATAACGTCGGGCTAAAACTCTTCAACGTTAATTCAACAGATTGGGAAAAGATATTGGCCATCGTCATTGAACGGGATCCTTGGAAGGCGACGAAGATTACCTTGAACACCGCCTAGGAGAGATCAGGGATCGAAGACAGACTGAATGAGATAGAAGGCAGACTGAAGCAAGGCCGGAACGAATTTTGGGGACAAAGCGAGGGCCAAACAGGAAAGTGGGGCGAACAAGAAGTTGTGGCGCCGATGGCCGGAGATTGCTGGCGAAGGGACGCCCGGATAATACAGACAAAGATTCTCGACGACGGAGACGGCTGGAGACTAGGGGTGTTCAAACGGTTTGGTTACCGTGGTAACCGTTTTAACCGGTACTATTTGGATAATTTGGTTTGGTTAATTTGGATAATTGGTTTGGTTTGGTTAAAGTTTTTAGCTTGTTTGGTTTAGGTGGTTTGGTTTGGTTTCAGACACTCCTAACCAGTCAAACCAAATTAACCAGTTAAGTAATTAGTCATATATCTACCATATATTATATACACATAATACTTAAGTGTTAACGTTTATCCCTTTTAGACTCATAAAATATAAAGCTCAATATTGCTCATATAGTGTATATTTGTATATTTAAAGTCTAGACCACAACATATGGACGTCTAATTTAGATAAATTTCATACATTATGATGAATGAAAACTTGAAAGGAAGGTCATTTCCAGCCTATGATAATTGCTAAAAGACTAAGTCAATTTACACAAACACAACAATTCATTAACCCATACCATTGTCATAATTTTTTGTTAGGTGAATACTTCTATACTAATCGTAAGATAATTGTCTTAGTTGCATGTATTTTTGTTAAGAGTCAACTATAACTACGTGTTGATTGTTATTTTTATTCATTATATAAATTGCGAATTGTTGCATTAATCGGAAAATTTTCATCGTCAATGATAATGTGATTTTATATTGGTTTATCTGGTTAACCAATTAACCAAACCGATTAAACTTTAGTTTGAGTAATTTGGTTGTATTAGTTTGGACGGTTTGGTTATGATACTGTATTCCATAGTTAATGGAATTTAGCCTTATTTGGTTTGGTTATAACCATGGTAACCATTTGAACACCCCTACTGGAGACTGCTCTCGAAGAGACGGGTCAACACAAAACTTGTTACACTGGGAGGGAGAAAAACCGACGGGACGTGGTTTGAAAATTAGTAGAATTTATTATTCAGTTTTTATATTATTTAAAATTTCCAACGTATCATTGACAACTAATAACTCCTCACTAACTAATAACTGCTTACTAACTACCTAAAATAAAATCAACCAATCACAACGTTTTAAGATCCTCCTTAAGAAAGGAGGCTTAAGGACCTGAACTCAGGCTTTAAAGATTGGAGTGTTCTTTAGCGCTTCGTTTTGCATAACAGCAAAAACTTTGATTTCTTCTCACTTCCCTTCGCGTGCCTGGCTTGCTTCTTTATATCCTTTGCGTATTTGAGTTTTTTTTTCACACCCCTATATACATGATAAGAAAAAATGTCAATATGTCACACAATAAAGTATGTAACCATAACATAATCTCATCAATTTATTAACTAATCACTCAAATTTATTTATTCATATTTACATGTATACTTTTTTTTTAAGAAGAGTACATGTATTCTTCTTACATGTATACTTCTTAGGTGCCTTCTACGGTACCCCCGGGGGAAATCCGGGGTACCCGCATACCTTGAGTATGGAAACGGTATCTAGACCTCGAATTAGCTGGATTTTTGGGTCTGATACTATATCCTAACCCTTAATGAGTGAACCCTAGGTCCTAATTATCTAAATCACAATCTATAAACCCTAAGATGGTGCATTCCTTTTTGTGTCTATATTTGGACGAATCCTAACCGTCGATTATTGTTTCTAATTAAATTGATCTTGGAGTATAAGATTGGGAGAATTAAGACCTAGATTTTGATCTTTAAGGGTCAGAGTATAGTATCATGTCTGAAAAAACGGTCAATTCAAGGTCTAAATAGTGTTTTCATACTCAAAGTATGCGGTACCCCGAATTTTACCCAAGTTACCGTACAACTCTCCATACTTCTTAATGTAATTTAGGAAATCAATCAACCAGCTTTTTTACAAAATTCATGAATTTCGTCAAGAACTAGTTATTTCAGGATTGGTGAAGCAATTTCGGAGTTTTACACTTACTAAGAATTGCAATTTTACAGATTGCGTAGATGTGCATGCACATTTCTATACAATCGGTTGATTATAATAAAGATTAAATATTTTTCGGTGGAATAATAAAGATTAACTTGACGATTCAAACAAAAAAAAAAATTGTATAATCGGCTGACTATTTTTTTTATGGTATATATGAATTAGGGTACAAAACTATATTTGTAGTAATACTATTCTATTTCTCTATTTACCTTGTTCATCTTGTGTCTGTATAATTATTCCCCAACTAAATGCTATATATGGTTGAAATCATCTCATCCACTGTTTTGTCCTTTTGAAATGTTGAAATTATCTCTTGTCGTAGTAGCACGTTTCTAATATTTGATTGATGTACTGTCGGTTTAAACTTTAAAACAAGATTCATATTAATAACTCTGGTATGCGAAAAATAGATATGGTAATCAAGTCATAAAAGAGAAAATTCTGTTCACAACTGTGGTAACTAAACACGTTTTCAGTTACACTTGCAGGTTGACTAAAGTATTAAACTCAATTGATTGAGATATCAAGTGTTTCCGGTCGCTCATGGACTTATTCCTCCCTGCCGCCGGAAGGCCCTAGCTAGCTGACGCGTGCATGAATTTCTCCGATCCTTCGATTCCCGTCGCCGGTTTCCCCAAGCCATTCCATTTGTCCATATATATATATATATGCCAGTTCTGCGGCAACAATATTTTATAATCATACAGCACAAGAGAGAGGTTGGTGTTCCGGCGCAGTGGCATCTCTTTGACTTGGAAGTTATCGCCCTTCACGTTGCAATAACATTAATTCTTCTTCCGCTAGCTCCTTCACGTTGCCTATATATACAAAGGATGGGATTAGCCGGCCAATAGTGTGAGAGAGCTAGAGAGTTTGTCAATTGTCATTCATTACTCATTACAATTAACATTAATGGCTTACCACACCAGTAAAATTACCGCAGCATCACTAATGGCGACAGCTATTATTGTTCTACTAGCCGGCGGGGGCCAATTGCGCACTTCCCTTGGAGCTTCGCTTTGCGGCAACACTCCGGCGACATATCAGGAGATGTTCGCCAGTAATGTGCATAGCCTTGTTGACGATCTGGTCCAGTACACCACAAGCGTGCTCCCAGATGAATTCACCTACAGCCGCACGGTTCCAAGTTTTGGCGGTCCTGGTTCCGTTTCAGGCACTGGCACTTGTTATGATCAAGGAGCCATAACTGCTGCGGATTGCGCCAACTGTCTCTCTGAATTGCAGCCGTATTTGGAGTTATGCGCACAGTACTTTTCTTCCGGGGGAGCTTCCTATGACGGAAGGTGCACGATTCAATTCCAGGAAAATTTACAGTAGTTAGTTAAACTTGAATTGAATGGAACACCAAATACGTACATTATCTCTACTTTATCTATCTATCGATCTATCTCTATGTAATGTAATGTTGGTGGGTACGCGCTATAACACCCACGAATGCTTTCAGTGTCTTGGATATGGCTTTCTCGCTTGCAATGCCCCAGCAGGATGTGTATTTCACTTTGAACTTTTTGTTTAATTTCCTTCAAGGTTTCAGTTCCAGTTTTTTTCCTTTTCTTTTTGTTCTTTGAGTAAGGTCTGCTATCGTTTTTTTGATTTTATAGGGATGAAGATAAACTGCAGCATAAGATGTGAAGCACACTAAACAACCAAGCCAGGTCGGATCCAAATTGGGTATTTTGTTTTGGGATGTGGGTCGATTGAGGACAACTCATAAGCGTATACAGTTTAAAGGAAACATTCGTAACAACAAATTTTTATTAAAAATTTGAGAAACAAACTATGACATACAAGAAACAACACTTTTCGTCGTTAAATATTTATGAGGCTGTCTCTCTCGACGCTTAAGGAATTTTATGTGCATCGCGTATACCCCGTTGTCAAAGGTTTCAACCACAAATTTAGTGCAGTCGTTGCTAATGATATTGTCGAAATAAGGCAACTCTATTAGTACGATACTGTCCGCTTTGGGTCAAGTCCGCACGAATTTACTTTTTGGGTATCCCCCAAAAGTTCTTGTACTAATGAGCTTGGTGGACACTTATATACAAGGGTCCCTTCCCTTGTATTACCGATGTGATAATTGGATTGTCCCATAACAACCCTCCCCTCCCATAACAACACTAACCTCAAGACAAGAACCACGAACTTCGTGTGCTCTCCTCAAATCTTGATCCGCCAAACCATGTGCAGCTCTACCTTTGATCTACCAAACAAATGTGAACTTCCCTTGATACGCAAAACAAACGTGGATCTCTCTTGGATTCACAAAACAAACGCAGATCTCAAATCCAGAGGTCATCGAATAAGGGTCCACTAAGCTTACGTCCGCCTCCCCGAATCCACCGAACCAGTCTCTGATATCACTTGTCGAAATCAGGCAACTCCATTAATATGATATTGCATGCTTTAGGCCAAGTCGGTATGAATTTATTTTTTGGTATCCTCTCCAAAAGGTCTCATACTGAAAATGTTGGTGTAGGGGTGGGCAATGGTTTCGATAAAACCGATCAGAACTGGATCAAAACTAATTCAAACCAAACCAAAACCAAAATATTGTAGTTTAGTTCGAAATTCAGTAGGAAAGTAGGGCTAATTCGGAAACCAGGGTAGTCATGACCTAACCAAGTTTCTGAATTCCGAACCGACCGACCAAAATTCTGTTTGTTATCTCCCTGGCCCAGTTTCCTACACTCACAGCCCAGCCTCAGCCCAAACTCTCCACAACCCAAACTCCTCCCCTTAGCCCAACCAGGCCCAAACACTCCCATAGCCCAAGCTCTAGCCATAACCTAGTTCCCCATAACCCTAAGCCTAACTTACTATATGGTGGGGACAGTTGTTTAATAAAAATAAAAAAGAAGAGAGTCGCTCGCTCGTCGTCTCTGCTCTCTCAGCAGACACCACGCCCAAGAATCCTTCCACCTCTGATCGGACTGAGATAGTGCCACCAACGGCAAGATTGCCCTCGACCCCTTTCGATCACGACCCTGTTTTCTTGCAGTTGCGACAACCGGAGCAGAGCGCAAGCTGATGAGAAGGCCGGAGGACGCTGATGCAAAGGCTAGAGGACGCCAATGTGAAGCCAGGCATGAGGAAGACTCACCACCCTCGTTCACTTCTAAAAAAACCCCACCTTTCAGATCTATATCTCTCACGCTCTGATTCGGGCATCTTGTACACTTTTTATCCCCGTTTCTTTTTGGCGTTTGTGGCATTCGAGCTTCTTAAAGGGTGGTTTTACGCTAGGTTTCATGTGTTTCAATGTGTTTTAGAGTCTAACAGGTGAAACCAACCCCAGAGTCGAAAGTTGGAAGAAAAGGCGCAAAGACCGGGCAAAGAGGAGGATACAGCCGCAGTCTGCGGTCATAGCTTGGAGTTCACGATTGCCACGACCGTGAACTAGAACCACAAACTGTGAACTGCAGAGCGTCCAGAGGAGTTTCGGAGGTACTGATGCCGAGGCAGTTCACAGTCGTAAGACTGTGAACTAGAGCCATGGACCGTGAAATCCATAAGTGAAGCGGAGCATTTTGATATGTGTTTGCGGTCCCGACCTGATGTTCACGGTCGTGAACTGGGCACGATCTGTGTATAAATTGAGAGCAGAAAGGAAGAAGAAGCGGGAGCCCAAAGTGAGAGAAACCTTCTTATTCTTGAAACCCTAAAGAGAGAAAACACGAACCAAGAGGGAGAAGAGGCTAGGGTTTGCTCCAAGTGAAGATTTTGGAAGTTCCTCTTCAAGAGAGGATCTCTACAAGCACAATGAGAGTTGGAGGCATCACAATGATGGTTTCTTCCTTCTTCCTTTGTGTTCTTCCTTTGTCTAGTATGAAGTAGTTTCCCTTTTCACTTGGGTGTTGTAGAACCCTAATTTCTATCATGTAATTGATTGTGTGGATTAAATGATTGTGTGATGGTGGTGTTTAATTTAGGAATTGAGGTATTTTTCATGGTGATTGTGCATTGTGTGTGCTTGGCAATCTATTCTGCTATTTTAACCCAGCTTAGAGAGAAGCCCCCTTATCTTAAGAGGCTCAAATTAAGCTGGGTTTTCTTAGGCATTCCATGCCTCCTAACTAGGTTAATGAAGGGAAAACCTCTAACTTGAATTAGACACCTAGGTTAATTTTGATTATGCCGTCCAAACCTTGGTTTGAGAGAGAAGGTAACTCAACCCTCAATTGCTTGAGCCAAGAGGGCTACGATTGTAGCCTATAATACTTTCCTTGGCCTAGCAATTGAGAGGATGGTTTCTAACCATTGTTGCACCTCCTACGGGTCACAATTGCCTTGTCACACACCGGTTCATTCGATCCCACGGTTCATGGTAGTTAGTTAGGGGGAAGCAACTCCCGAGTGAAGCTTCTCATCAAGAGTTTTCCACCCTTTTACTTTTCAAGTCTTGCTTTTAAATAGTAGATTGTAGAGATTTTAACAAACAACATTCCGCTACATAATGTTTCAAACAATTGAAATAAGGGAACATGGGTCAGCCCAGGTTGATATTTAAACATTCTTGCCCTATATTGAACCCATCTAAGGTTTATACTTGGGCCTTAGGTGGGATTTTATTGTGATTCGGAGCAAGTCAAGTTTTTGGCGCCGTTGCCAGGGAACTTCAGTCCGTTATCTTGAAAATATTGTTTTTTTTGTTAATTTAGCTTTTATTTTCAGTTTTGTTAAGTGTGATATTTGCTTGTGCTAAACGTGTTTGTGTTATTTTAAGTTTGTGTAGGGACTCCTTTAACATCACTAGGCGAGAACATCAACCGGACTCTCCGACTTTTGGCTCGTTAGCGGAAGCAAGAAGGAGATTTGAAGAGAGGGGACAACAAGTTGGTCCCGGATTTGGATGAATTGAAGTAAAAGATGAAGTTGAGATGGCGGGGAATCAACATCGAGGTGCTAATCCGCTCCAAAACCAAAATGAGGAACCGGGAGCCGAGGAAGAACCAAGGACTATGAGCTATTACATGGCTCCACAGGCGGCAGATATCCAATCTCCCATCCTACATCCACCCGTAGCCGCCAACAACTTTGAAATCAAGCCCGCTCTCGTCACGATGATTCAAAATAACGCCTTATTTCATGGGCTTGCCAATGAATCACCACGTGAGCATGTTCAAAGGTTTCTTGAACTTGAGGGAAGCCTGAAGATAAATGGTGTCCCCGAGGTAGCATTGCAACTGAGGCTATTCCCCCTACTCTCTTGTAGGGAAGCCGCTTCGATGGCTCAACAACCGACCGACTCTATCCATCACCTCTTATGACGATTTTCTCAACAAGTTCATGAGCCGATATTGTCCTCCTTCCAAGACGGCCGAGTGGAGGAAGAAGATCACTCACTTTGTGCAAGAGGAGGATGAGACGTTGAGGGATGCATGGGAAAGATTCTCCGACTACTTCCTCTAATGCCCTCACCATGGATTCGAGGAGCAATTCCGGATAAAGACTTTGTATGGAAGTCTCATTCAATATGACAATATTCTCATCGACTCTCTTTGCTAAGGAAAGTTGATGAACATGACCCCACCTCAAGTGACCGAGTTGCTCGAATATATGGCTCTCAAAGGATATGACTGGGGCTTGACAATAAGTGGGATGAGAAGCACCGAAAGAGAAGTGTGAAGTGTGGGAGCAAGTGCTCCACTTGAAGCAAAGCTTGACAAGTTGATCGAGGTGATCCTTGAAAACAAGAACCAAGGTAAGGACCGATACTTAAGTTAATACGATCAGTAGCCGGAGAGTCTTGTGGCTCTCCTCACCCGTGGACTACTCCTGATCACTAAGGGATACCACGTAAATAAGTTGTTCTGTTCTTTGATCTCTTTCAATATGTCTAACATGGTATCAGAGCCATCGTCCACGATTATGATCGCCTCAGTATTCGTCTCGATCCAAAGAATTATGTTGTCTAGGAATTTCAATTCCAAAATTTTGTCGAAGGCAAGGGTCATTTGTCAATCCTTGAAGGTACATCGCCGACACCGACAATGCCGCCTACTACTGAGCAGGCTCTCAAACGCTAGATTCTCAACAATACTCATGTTAAGTCGTATATCTTGGGGTTAGTCGATCCTTTGATCTTTCTAGGGCTCTGGCTCTTCTCGACAGCCAACGAGATGTGGTCACACCTCGCCGCCACCTGCACTATCCAGAACACAGCTCGTCAGTTCGCCCTGCAATCCAAATTATCCGCATTGAAGCAAAGCGAGCGCGACGTCGCCTCTTACTACAACGAATATGTCCGCCTATGGACCGATGAGGATCTTCTCCTCGCCTCGCTCAGTCCAGCTCAGGTCACTGCTGACGTGCGCACTGACTGCAACCGCTCCCGCCTGATGCGTTTCCTCATGAAACTCTGTCCAGAGTTTGAGTACGTAATATCCTCTCTGCTTGACTAGGATAATATGAAATTTGATGATGTTTTAGGTCGATTGCTGCAGGAAGAGACCCGCCTAAATGCCCAGGACCAAATTGATGCTTGTCCTAGCACTGCGGAGACGGTTATTTCAGCTGATCGTGTCCCCGATTTCGATCATGCTGCCTATGCTGCTCAACGGGCCCAATTTCATTGTCGTCCCACTTTCGAGTTCACTTGCATTTTCTATGATGAAAAGGGTCATGTACAGAAACACTACCAAAAACGAAACTTCTGCGTTTACTGTAAGCGCTCGGAGCACATCATCAACGATTTTCGAACTCAAAGAGAATCGCACCATGTAAGCGGGTGGAACTTGCTGGCGTTGCACATCCGGAGCACCTGTCATCGGCTTGGCCTGATCCACCTGCTTAGCTGCCCAACCCGTTTCTTCAGCTGGTTCGTCCCTGTCCGCAGATATGGTTTACAAGGTGATTAAATCCGCTATTCAGAAATCTATCCATGCTGCCATCAACTCCGCGTTTGTGGCACTCTAGGTTTCAGGTAAAGCAAAACCTTGACTACTTGATTTTGCATGTTTTAATCACATGACTAGTGCTTTTGGTTCTTTTCAGCTTCAATTCACAAATGATTCTCATCTTCCCGTTGCTGGCATTAGTTCTTTTGCGCATAATCGTGTTCGACTTACTAATGTTCTCCATGTTCCTAAATTATGTCATAACTTGGCATTTGTGGGCCAGCTTACTGAAGAGAATTGCTCGATTTTATTCGCACCGCGGGGTGTTTTGTGCAGGATTTGTCGAGTCGATCATCTGCTTCTGTTGTGAGTCGGTTTCTAGCTCTCAAGTGTCTAGTGAGTCTCGTTTTCCCACTGTTTTCCCTGTTATTTTGTCGGATGAGTCAAACAATCAGTGGCATTTATGGCATCGGCGCTTAGGCCATCCTCATTCTCATCGGTTACAACACATGTTTAAATAATAGTTACTTGGTAATAAAGCAGTGCTTCCTTCCATTTATCTATCTTGTTCTGGATGTGTTGAGACTAAATCTAAGAGCATCTCGTTTCCCTCTAGTAAGATGGTCATTTCAGATCCGTTCGGCCTCATTCATACTGATATCTAGGGTCCTGCTCCTGCTGCCTCTCGAAATTTTTATAAATACTTTTCCCTTTTCATCGATCATGCTACGCGTTATACTTGAATTTATTTTCTTCACCTAAAATCCAAGTTATTTGATGTCGCTGTTGAGTTTCTCACCATGATTCGTACTTAGTTTGGAAGGAATGTCAAAATGCTTCACTCTGACCCGGGCGACGAGTTTAGCTCCACTCCTCTGCTTGCTTACTACCGCAACCATGGCATTCTTTATCAAAATTCATGCCCCCGTGTCTCGCAGCAAAATGGCTTAGTTGAACGTAAAAATCGCCATTCTGTTGAGCTTACACGAGCACTCCTGCTGGCCTCTTCAGTTCCTTCTCGGTTCTGGCCTGAAGCAGTGGCAACTGCCATTCGTCTGATCAATTACCAATAAGGGTGATAATCGTTTTGGTTTGGTTATAACTGGAATAATTTAATCGGTTCTCAGTTAACCATTTTGTCATAACCAGGATGCTCCATTAGTACCATATTGTTCGATTTGGGCCAAGCCCACACGTTTTTACTCTTGGGTGTCCTCCTCAAACGACCTCGTACTAATAAGAATGGTGGACACTAATATACAAGGGTCCCTTCCCTTATATTACCGATGTGATACTTGGATTGTCCCATAACAATCCTCCCCTCAAGACAAGGACCACGAACCTCGTGCCCTCTTCTTAGCGATTATCTTGATCCGCCAGACACCTTGTGTCGATGGGCTTCTTTGTACAAGGATTTTTCCCAAATGCGGAACTCTCTTTGATCCGCCAAACCAGATGTAGCCCAGACGCGAAATTTTCTTTGATCCGCCAAACAGACATGGACCTCTCGTGGATCCACCAAACTAGAGGCATATCTCAAATTTCGAAGTCACCGAATGAGACTCCCACCAAACTTACGTCCACCGCCCTAGATTCGCCGAACTAGGCTTTGATACCACCTGTCGGAATAAGACTCTCAATTAATACAATATTGTTCGCTTTGGGCCACGCCCTCACGGTTTTACTCTTAAAATTCCTCCTCAAAAGGCCTCGTACTAATGAGTTTGGTGGACACTATTATACAAGGTTCCCTTCCCTTGTATTATCGACGTGGTACTTGGATTGTCCCATAACAATTCTGCCCTCAAGACAAGGACCACAGACATCGTGACCTCCACTCAGTGATTATCTTGATTCGCCATACACCTTGTATCGATGGGCTTCTCGGTACAAGAATTTTCCCTTCCAAACCAGACGCAAATCTCAAATCCCGAGGTTACCGAATGAGGGTCCACCAAACTGACATCTGTCGCCTCGGATTCGTTGAACAGGGCTCTGATGAGCGTCCGCTAAACTTATGTCCACCGCCCCGAACCAAATCAGCCTTTGATGCCACTTGTCATAACCAGGGTGCTACATTAGTACGATATTGTCCGATTTGGGCCAAGCCTAGACAGTTTTACTCTTGGGTGTTCTCCCCAAAAGGCCTCGTACTAATGAGTTTGGTGGACACTAATATACAACAGTCCCTTCCCTTGTATTACTGATGTAGTACTTGGATTGTTCCATAACAATTCACCCCTCAAGACAAGGACCACAGACATCGTGTCCTTCACTCAGTGATTGTCTTGATTCGCCATAGCCCTTGTATCGATGGGCTTCTCGATACAAGAATTTTCCCTACCAAACCAGACGCATATCTCAAATCCTGAGGTCACCGAATGAGGGTCCACCAAACTGACGTCCGTTGTCTCGGTTCTGTTGAACCAGGCTCTGATGAGGGTCCACCAAGGTTGTCAACCCGCGGGTTGACCCGGACCCGGTTGAGCTAGTGGGTCAAGGGTTAATGGGTCACCCGTTTTAGTCCGGTTTAGCCCGGAAATATGGAAAGCGTCATTATATTGTACTTATCCTGATAAATTATATCAAATCTCATCTAACATATGAGTTATAACATATAATATTACACCAAAATAACATTTCGTACTTAGATTCAACATATAGTGAAAATTCACACACACTTATATAACATTAATATTTAAATGTTCAACTTAGGATTCCAAAGATTGAGATTAGGCGAAAAGAAAAATCAGAAAATAGGCGCATTTCGCAAAACAAAGAAAAAAATGACACAATTTGACCTCCAACCTGGTACCTTGTGGCGGTTGACCCGGCGGGTGCATGCGGCCCGTTTTTCTCACCGGGTCAGGGTCAAAGTGGGTCAACCCGCGGGTTGACAACCTTGGGGTCCACCAAACTTACGTCCACCGCCCCGAACCAAACCAGCCTCTGATACCACTTGTCATAACTAGGGTGCTACATTAGTACGATATTGTCCGATTTGGGCCAAGCCTTCACGGTTTTACTCTTGGGTGTCCTCCCCAAAAGGTCTCGTACTAATGAGTTTGGTGGACACTAATATACAAAGGTCCCTTCCCTTGTATTATCGATGTGGTACTTGGATTGTCCCATAACAATCCTTCCCTCAAGACCCGGATATCGTGTCCTCCCCTCAGCGATTATCTTGATTCATCAGACACCTTGTATCGATGGGCTTCTCGGTGCAAGAAATTTCCCCACCAAACCAGACGTAGATCTCAAATACCGAGGTCACCAAATGAGGGTCCACCAAACTAACGTCCATCGCTTCGGATCCGTCGAACCAGGCTCTGATGAGGGTCCACCAATCTTACGTCCACCGCCCCGAACCAAACCAGCCTCTGATACCACTTGTCATAACTAGGGTGCTACATTAGTACGATATTGTCAGATTTGGTCCAACCCCGCATGGTTTTAAGCTTGGATGTCCTCCCCAAAAGGCCTCGTACTAATGAGATTGGTGGACACTTATATACAATGGTGCATTTCCTTATATTACCGATGTGGTACTTGGATTGTCCCATAACACGTTTAGTATTTTTTGCTTACAGTGAACCGCACCGTTTATAATATTCGTCGGTTAACCAAAACCGTATAGTCGGTTCTCGGTTATTTTATCGGTTAATAAGATAATCGTTAAACTTAAACTAGTGCTTCAGCCAGGTTATACCTAAGTACTCCGATCGATACCGATCGGCAGCAGAAGCATCACCCAGCACCAGCTTGAACTGACCTTCTCTGCCGTATGTAATCATCCTCGCCTCAATATCAATCGCCTCATTAAAACCGTGGAATAGTCTAAACAAGTCGAATAAAACGAGTCAGGTTGAGATTGTCATTCCTACTCCGATCCTTGGATTCGGGTCGCCGGTTTTCCCAGCTATGCCATTTGTACATATATGCCAGTTCTGGACAACAATATTTTATAATCATACAGCACAAGAGATAGGTTCGTGTTCCGGCGCAGTGGCATCTCCGTTACTTGGAAGTTATCGCCGGTGATTATTACTCCTTCCGGCAGTGGCCGGCTAGCTACCGCATGAATTCTTCCCCTCCTTTACGTTGCCTTTATATATACAAGGATGGGATTAGCCGGCCAATAGTGTGAGAGAGAGTTTGTCATTCATTACTCATACAACAACATTAATGGCTTACCACACCACATTTACCGCATCACTAATGGCGACAGCTATTATTGTACTACTAGCCGGCGGGGGGCAATTGCGCACTTCCCTTGGAGCTCCCTTTTGCGGCGACACTCCGGCGACATATCAGGAGATGTTCGCTAGTGTTGTGCATAGTCTTATTGACGATCTGGTCCAGTACACGCCAAGCGTGCTCCCGGATGAATTCACCTACAGCCGCACGGTTCCAAGTTTTGGCGGTCGTGGTTCCGCTGTAGGCACTGGCACTTGTTATGATCAAGGAGAAATAAAAAAAACTATTGAGGATTGCGGCAAATGTCTCTCTGAATTGCAGCCGTATTTGGAGTTATGCGCAAAGTACTTTTCTTCCGGGGGAGCTTTCTATGAAGGGAGGTGCATGATTCAGTTCCAGGAAAATTTACAGTAGTACGTAGTTGAAATTGAATGGAACGCTAAATACGTACATCTCTACTTTATCTATCGTTCTAACTCTAGCTATGTTATGTTATGTTGGTGGGTACGTACGTGCTATAACACCCACGAATGTTTTTAGTGTCTTGGATATATTGCTTTCTCACTTGCAATTAATGCACCAGGATGTGTATTTCACTTTGAACTTTTTGTTTCCTACACGGTTTCAGTTTCATTTCCAGTAAAGTTTGTTCCAGGCTTTCAGCTCTCCGCTTTTCCTTTTGTTTTTATTTTTCTTTGAGTAAGGTATGTTATCTCTTTTTTGATTTTATAGTAATGAAGATAAAATTAAGAGGGTGTGCTTGCGTACATCAAATTAGGGATCTAACAATTACCCACCCATTCGTAATTCTGGACAAACCAAAGTAGATTCATTCATTATAGGTAGGGACTTAGGGGTGAAAATCGATACGGTATCGTTATCCCAATATCAAATACCGAAATCCCGAATACTGAATTATAATCTAAAATTGATCTCAATCTCAATCCCTAAATATTTTGTATTCCAATTTGTACTTCGGTATCCCAATCGGTATAATCAAATACGATATTAATTACCTTTGTAATTAATGATTGAATATATAAATTAGATTTGATTGTTTAATTTAGGGCAAAGAGACTAAGCAAAGAATCTTGAGTTTGCCTAGAGTTAGGTGACTCACTCCTACTGTCACTCTAGAAAATGGCCAAGTGTAACCACTTCCTAAAGCGTAGTATAGCGGGTTTGAGTTTTAATGTCAACCCGGGTCCTAGATGTGATGACTACTCAGTGAATTCTTATTATCTAGCAGTGAAACTTTAGTGAAGGTCTAAACTAACAAACAAGCAAAGCAAAATAAACGGTTGTTTTCAAGTTAAGAGAGGTCACCCGGATATGGTTCCCCCTAGACTGCAGTTAAGCCGGATTGCAATTACCAAGTTCAGTTTCTATGATAGTTATACTGCGGAAGGTTCTTAAACAGTCTGAAGTCTCGACTAAAGGTCTCCAGACCCTCTCAATCTGAGTCTCCAGCGGGCGACTAACCTCCACCGGAGTAAACAGATTGAGGCCCTAACGAACAAAACCTCCACTACCGAAGTGAATTCGGTACATAATAGCGAGTTGGCTCCTCGACTAAAGTCACCAACTCCCTACCTTCAATCAAGGATGCTCTATAAACCTAGGCAGATATTCTCATTCTAGGTTAAAGCAGAAATAACAGGAATTTGATCAGGATTCAAGTCATTCAATCATTCAAGCCTCATTTGAACATAATCAAATCATAGAATCAGTACTTGGGTTCATACAATCAAACCTAACATACAAATCTAGGGTTTTCCATACCCAGATGAATGGGAGAACTACTCCATGGAGAAAGAAGCAAAAGCAGAATCAGACGCGGAATTCATACTGTGAAGGATGGATTCCTGCTCCTGGACGTTGATTGGCACTCCTCCAAGCACAAGCCAAGCTCCAATGGTGATGAAGATCAAGCTAGGGCACTTGGAGACTCTTGTTCGTCGCTTTCTCTCTCTAGGAATCGCTCTGTCTCTCTAAAACTCGAATCCCCATCACTTGTGGCTGTATATTGGCTTAAAACCAGAAAATCCCGACTCACACGGCCATGTCACAGGGCCGTGTGACTTTCCCAGATGCCCGTGTGGCTTTGCAAAACGCGGCGTTTCGATTAGTGACTTCAGCCATCCCACGCGGCCAGGACTCACACGGCCGTGTGGCTGTTCAGGCTGCCCGTGTGGCTTTTGCCGAGCCTTCACATGGCCATATGGCCAGTTCACACGGCCGTGTGGGTCGTGCCCGTGTGGCTTGCTCAGCCTCTGTGTAATGCTTCGTTTCTCCCTCGTCCGGACTCCGAATCAGTCCTCGTTTGATCCCAGACGCTCGTAGTCTCGTCCTCTTTCTTTCATGACAAGCTTGCATGATTCTTTGTCCAGAAAGTGAGGTATAAATCCATTCTTCTTCAGGTCATGCCCGAGTTTCTTCTCCCGAATCGTCAATTGATCTCTGATTGATTTGAAACTTGCGCCTATGCTTCACTTTATGTGCTAGGACCTGAAATGTGACAAAGGAACACAACCTAGCATAAAATAAGACAAAGACGCAATAATTCAAGCTCAAACAATCAAGAAACAAAGGGGAAAACATGTGCAAATACCGAGTCATCAAATCCCCCCACACTTAACTGTTTGCTTGTCCCCAAGCAAACCAAGTCAGACACAAGGTAAGCTCAAAACGTTTCAATCAAGCACGCTTTAGGACATATAATATCGGCACAAAAACGTGGATCATACTGGCTTTCGATCATTAACACATGGACAACCTCAATGACAACCTAGACAACCACCACAGATGACATTCGAATGCAATAAAGTCGAGCAAAGGAAGAGTTCCCTTCTGTTCACCAACCAACATAGACTTGACTCAACCACTTATTCAAAACAGTCACTTCATGCACAAAACTCAAGATATCAGAATTAAGACCGAGCAATCTAGGTCCTCACCGGGATAAAGAGTATAGAGAATATGAGAAAATGAATCGCTCACTCTCGACCAGTATGGTCAGGACAATTTGATGCGAAAAATGCGCATGCTTAATCTCTCAATCCCTAACATCTCTTCACCATGAATGCAGCCTCTAAGTGCTAGAGTTCACATATGGGATGTCACCACTAACTAATTCGGAGGTCTTAGACACAGGTTCAGATGACTGGCTAGGGTCTCGGACATGGGGCAAAGGCCTTTTAGGTGGTGGAAGTATTCATACAGCACAAGGTTCCACATTTCCAAACCCAACAAACTCACAGTCAATCAAACCAATAACTTTCTTTCTGCTATTCTGCATTACTCAAATTCTTCAGAGCACAAGAGCGAAGGAGGTTACATAAATGCTAGTATTTCTAAGCCAGACTGCTAAGAAACACTACTAAATGGGCATTATTCAGATTTTTGGTGGTGGCTCTCTTTTGATTTCATTTTTTTTTTCATGTTTTTCTTTCATTATTTTTTTTCATTTCTTAAGAGAACCACCAACTCTGCACATTTTCAAACACCTGCCCAACTTTTAAGAACTACCTCCAACTCTCCCATTACGTTTAGCAGAAACAGCAGAAAACATGTAAAAATCACTCTGTGGAACCTTCTAAGAGATGCAAAAGGGTGATTTTTCATTGCAGACCGAAAGAAAGGAGAACACACGGCTCAAAGGGGCTGACTAGGGGGTATGACACACCAGGACAGTCAATTTGGTCGTGGGCTAATCCTATGCCTCCATCATCTTAGCTAATGACAACGTGAATGCTACACATCATAGAAGAGGGAACTATCACACAGGAAAGAAACGAGCAGGCTCAAATCTCACATGGCTACCTATATGCTCTATCTCTCATTCTGATTCCCTGAACTAGATGCATAAGAGACTGTCAAAAACAAGTAATCAATCCAAGTCACAGTTGGTAAGCAAACAGTTGAAAAACTGAACCCTACACAATTCTACTGCACGTCTCAGTCATCATTATAGGTTGTCCTAATCACCATCCAGTTGTCATGCATTAATCCGAAAATCATTCAATTCACCAATCAAAACACAGTGCCAATATGATCAAACATCAAGCAAACAACAGTGCTTGGAGCCCTCAAATCTCGGGATTTGGACAGTGGACTAGGCTCCAAGCATGCAAACAGATCTAACGCAGTCAAAAGATAAACATTCCCCCCATACTTAAGATCGACATTGCCCTCAATGGAGAAGAGGGAAGGATAAGGGGAACGATGTTACCGGTGAGCACGGACTACATGGGACGGGAAGCGGACCAGTCTGGGACAAAGCACAGCTAAAGGGAGCAGAAGAGCTCAAACACAATATGTTAGGTCTAATGGTCAGCCCAATAATACCTCAATCAAAACAAAAGAAAACAAACCAAAACCAAACCGGTTTACAATCCGACTCAAAACACAAGAAAGAAAATCAAACCGTGGTGGGGTTGCCTCCCCACAAGCGCTTCTTTACCGTCTTTTAGCTGGACGCCCATGGTGGATACTCAGGGAGGTGCAGGAACAGGTGCCTCCATGAGCGGATTCACGTCGCTCTTGAGGTACAGCTTCAGGTTGCGGCCATGCACCCGACGGGTGCAACCACCAGCATTGGTCAGCTCGACCTGGCCATCCGGCAAGATGCAGGCGAGTGAGTACTCGGATGGCCAGTGTGGTCGTGGTGCAGGAGGTGGAACCAGCTTGTAGTGGTCTCCACAATTCTTCTGTGCAGGCTTACCAACCTGCTGCTTCGGCCGCCACTCCTCCTTGATCTTTTTGTTCGGAGGCGAGACTGGATGGAGTGGCGACGGAGAAATGATAGGAGGGTCCTGCAAAATGAGAGGTGCAGAAGGATACACGACAGGCTCGTGTACCTGATCAGAAATGGCATGCACAGGTGTGACAGCAATTATAGCACAGTGATCGAATTCAGTCACAAAAATAGTAGCATGTTCATTCCCAGTACGCAGGATCAGTTTACATTATGCACATCAATAAGTGCCTTGGCGGTGGCAAGAAATGGTCTACCCAGAATCAAAGGCACATCCACATCCTCATGTATATCAAGAATAACAAAATCAACAGGATATGTGAATGCACCTACATTAACAAGCAGATCCTCTATGATCCCCTTAGGATGCACAATGGAACGATCAGCTAGCTGAATGCTCATCCTAGTAGGGCTAAGTTCACCTAGGTCTAGCTTTTTATACAACTTATATGGCATGACATTTATGCTAGCGCCTAGGTCCGCCAAGGACTTGCCTACATGCATGTTGCCAATAGTAAGAGGGATAGTAAAACTCTCTGGATCCTTGCGCTTTTCGGGCAGCTTGTTCTGCAGGATAGCAGAACACTCCTCGCTCAGCAACACTATCGAGAGATCCCCAAGTTTCTTCTTGTTGGTGAGGAGATCTTTCATGAACTTC